ATAAGTGTCCAAGAAACATGATTTTATACTTTTGTCACCTTTGTCACCTTTATCACCTTTGCCATACATTTTGACTTTTGACTTTTTGCCCTTTGTCACTTTGTCACTTTTATCGATAAAATATTTTTACACCAAAATATTTTCATCACCAACCTTGACCACAAATAGGATTGTCTCTATAACCTAGGTTCATGTATGCACATGTTTATACCATTTTACTTTATTTTATAATTTATAATAATTAAATAAAAAAGATTCCAAATTCCTTCCATTTTATTTCCAACATATTTGACATTCCTTAAACATGTGTGGCTATCACCAAAACAGCTTTCATTAATATCAAACAACAATCAATGGGTCATTATAATAAAGTTCACTCGTTTTTAACTGGTTATGATCAAATGGATCAAATGCAAAGAATTTCTTTTTCTTAATTTTATTATATTTGAATATTATAATAAATAAAAATATAATAAACATTAATTTTTTTGTTACAATAGCATGTATCAGGTTTTTAATTGTGCATTAATAATATATCTAAAATCCATATATATATCATCTTCTTTAACATCAATGTCTACCAATGTTCACTTTGTCTGGTTTTGTTGTGGTATGTCCCATATATGCTCATATATGCTTCTTGTTCTAATCCCAATTGTGATTCTTTTCTCGAAAAAAAAGGAAATTTTCTTTTGTAAATGTTGCTGTGTGATGGATATTGTAAACTCAGTACTGAAGATTGGGGATACAACAGATTTAGAGTTCCAATTTTACAGCTTATCCAAAAATAATTTGAAGTATTAAAATCAGTTAGCCCTTAATAATCAATTGATAAACATGCATTTCAGCAAATACTATTGGTCTCTTGGACAAATGTGAGTTTGCAGCAATTAACTCAGCTATCGATTTGATTGGTGATGTTTGATTACTAAGGACAGATTGTAATAAAAGATGAAAATGTGAATTAAACTGAATTAAATTGATGCTGGAACCGATTCTGACTCTGATTCTGGTCCTGGTCATGGTTTTGAATTGATTTCAGAAAAAAGTTGCAATGTTTCTATTTCTAAATTGGCTGCACTATCATCAGCTTTAGATTATTTTTGTCAATATCTATTTCTTTGCATCCAGTGAATCAAATTGATTTTATTACAAGCTCAATCACAGCATTTTTGAAGATATTATTGAAGTGAAGGTAAGATTTTTTTGGTAAACATTCATCACATCATGATTATTTAGCCAATGAAATTAATATATAATTAAGTTTCTGAATTCCACTCTTAAAAATTATTCAGGATCTGTGCCAATTACAGAGATATCACCAAAAAGAAATATCTTCTACTCTTTATGGCATTAATTGTTGAGATGACAAATATTTCACCTTTCTCTTGCTCTAATGATATTTACCCAAATGTATCTTTTATATTTAATCAGTAATACAC